CATTGCTACTCTCCTATCATTGCTTTAAAATTCTTTATATTAACTTTCCCTGTTTAAATTACTGTGTGGTTTCTGTCTCCTGATTGGACCAGACTGAAAAAATAGCTCTCTTTTCACAGGAATTTTCAACAGTGTCTGTTCACTAAATTCAACCTGAAAAGCAAATTTATGTCTTTAAAGTGAAGCCCAATCCTTAAAACCACTTTATATTTACAAAAAAAAAAGACCCCGAAGCTTTTATCTGTTTGTTATTAGACCTAATTTTTAACAAGTTAGGAGTAACTTTTAATGAGAAATGCATAGGATAACATAGTTAACAACTTGAAATTTTTAAACAAAATATTCATGTTTCACCACACATTAATAAATTTAAGATGGATCAAAGAATTAAAAATAAAAACAAAAGCAGGGAAAAGTTTATATGAGTATCTGACTTTAGGAAGAAGAAAGATCTTCTAAGCATAAAAGCAAGGGAAGGAATCACAGAGGAAATTACTGACAGACAATTATATAAAAATCTTAAATTTTTGTACATTAAAAAATTAAAACAAGAGTAAAAAAGCAAACTGATGAAAAATCTGCATAAAAGTCTGACTTATTCCAAAATTAAGAGTGAATCCAAAAGTTAAGCAAGATATAAATGAAAACAATGGTTAATATATGGTAAACAAGCCCTACCCTCAACTATAATAAAAGTACAAAATAAGTAATAATTTTTGACCTATCAAAGTAACATATTATTTTTTAATAAAAACATATAGATATGAAACTTCTATTTCCAGAAAAGATGGATTAATCACCCTCCACTCAACCTCTCCTACAACTAAAAACCTTGGACTAAACCACATAAAAGAACTACCAGAAGACTCTGAAAAGTAGATAAATCAGGCTCTCAGGACTTAAGGGACAATATAGCTGCAAGTTCCTTGGGTTTTCTGTTTTGCCTCATATATATCCCAGCCAGGACACTAGAGCAGCCAGAAAATCAGAACTGCCAATGGCCCAGACAGAAAAAAAAAAAAAAAAGGAAGAAAGAAAAATCTATTCTTTCTAGTTGCAGGACTGGGAAATGAGAGAGGGAGGACTGTGGGATGGAACCTTTCTGCTTTTACTCATCTTCTCCAGGTGATAACCAGCAAACAAGCAGCACTGTTTCCCCTCCCCACCAGCAGACTGTATGGTCAGAGCCCTATAGACTCCCTCTGCTCTATAGCAAGGAAGTGCCAGCAAAGAAACCGTGTCCCTCTCTCTCCCCACCAGCAGTGAGGTAGCCACTGAGGGGCAAAGCCCTGTTTCCTCCTTCTTCCCTATACCAGGCAAGTGCCAATAAAGAGGCAGAGTCCCTCCCCCTCCCCACTGTGTGGCAGTGGCCGAGTCTACATAGCAGAACTCTGGCAACAGTGCAAGGAAGTGAGTGTCCTGACTTTCTAGCTAGAACACCAGGAATGGGGAGCCCTGGGAACCAGAGAGTGAGCAGAAGATTAAGGAAATGGGTGAGCTGGAGAAAGGGAACCTCAAAGCTTGAGTATGGAATCTTGATATCACCCCCTAGCTGTACGTATGTGAAACTGACTATAATCAGTAGAGCAAAGGCTTTAAAAAAACTCTGCGTTACATGTAGATGACTCCCCTGGTTTCAGACTGGCTGCCAATGGGGTACACAAGAGAAGAAGACTAGAATAGCACTGCAAAGGCTTTGAAAATTCAATTGAAATTGGTACCAGGCCAGCCCCAGTGGCGTGCTCTGCTTCAGCAGCCTGTGTTCAGCTCCAGGCGTGGACCTACACCACTTGTCTGTCAGTGGCCATGCTGTGATGGCAGCTCACATACAAAGAGAGAAAGATGTTAGCTCAGGGCGAATCGTCCTCAGAAAAAGAAAAGAGAAGAAATTGGAACCAGAGCCCACAGAAAACAAGCCAAGATATGTGATCAAAACATAACCAGGTTAGGGCCGATCCCATGGCTGAGCGGTTAAGTTTGCACACTCTGCTTCAGCAGCCCAGGGTTTCACCAGTTCAGATCCTGGGCATGGACCTAGCTTCACTCACCAAGCCATGCAGAGGCAGCATCCCACAGAGCACAAGTAGAAGGACCTACACCTAGAATATACGACTATGTACTAGGGGGCTTTGGGAAGAAAGAAAAAAAAAAAAAAGATTGGCAACAGACGTTAGCTCAGGTGCCAATCTTTAAAAAACATAACTGGGTTAACTGCCTGCTGAAAAAGGTAAATCAACATTCTCCAAAAGATTTAAACAGGACTCAGAGTCGCATAAGATAATATTCAAAATGTCCAGGATATGATCCAAAATTACTCAACATACTAAGTGAAAAACCTAAACAACTCCCAAAAGAAAAGGCAAACAATAGATGCCAATCCCAAGATGACTAAATGTCAGAATTATCAGACAAAGATTTAAAGCAGCTATTATAACCATGCTCCAAGAAGTCAGGACTGTTGAAATGAATGGAAAGACAGAACTTCTCAGTAAATAAATTGGAATTATAAAAAAACAAACTAAATAAATTTTAGAATTGAAAATTCAATAACAGAAATTTTAAAATTCACTGTAGGGACTCATAGCAGAAAGGAAATGACAAGAAAGAGTCACTGAACTTGAAGATAAAAAGTATTCAATATAAACAAGAGAAGGAAAAAAGAGTGAAAAGAATTGAAAATAGACTTAAAAGCATGTAGGACATATCAAAAGGACCAATATTCATGTGACAGAAGTCCCAGAGGGAGATGAGAAAGAGATTACAGCAGAAAAAATATAGATAGTTGAAGAAATAATGGTTGAAAACTTCCAAAATTTGGTGAAAGGCATAAATTTACACATCCAAGCAGCACAGAAAAATCCAAATGAATAAACTTAAAACCACAGTCAGACACATCATAATCAAACTGCTTAAAACCAAAAGATAAAGAAAAAAACTTGAAAGCAGACAGAAATACAAGACATTATATATAGGTGAGCAAAGATTCAAACAATGGCATTTAGGCCAGAAGTCAGTGGAATATTTTTAAATGACTAGTTATTGGTCCAGATAGCTTCTAAAATCTCTTCTGTGTGTTGCAAATTGAATATGGTGTTTGGATATAACCGGATGAGGAATTGTACACCCAAAAAAGGAGATAATGAATAACCCACTAAAGTTTACTACCTTCTCTGCATGAGAAGGATTAGAGAGAAAAAGAAAAGACCTTACTATTCTCTAGGGCAGTGATTCTCAAAATGTAGCCCTTATACTCCTGGGGGAGCCAAGATTTTCAGGAGAATACCAGGAGGTCAAAACTTCTCATAATAATGCTTAGACATTATTTACCTGTGTTGACATTTACTGCAATAGTGCAAAACCAACAATGGGTAGAAGTGCTGACCTCTTAGCATGAATCAAGGCAGTGGCACCAAACTGTGTTAGAAGACACTATATTCTTTACCACCACACATTCATAGAAAGGAAGGGAAAGAAAGCAAGTTTTATTTTAAATATCTTTGATGAAACAATAAAAATTATAATTTTATTAAATCTGAACCCCTGAGTACCCTTCTTTTTAATATTCTGTGTGGCAAAATGGAAAGTATACTCAATGCACTTCTGCTGTGCAATGAAGTTTCGTGGTTGTCTCAAGGGAAAGCTCTTCTGCAATCGTTTGAGCTACAAACTTTTTCATGAAATAGCATTTTCATTTGAAAGAACAACTGAGACACAAACGATGGTTATTCAAAATTGGGTATTTGGCAAACACATTCTCAAAAATGAATAAAGTCACTCACTCTAACATTTCAAATAAAAGAACTGACAGTATTTATTGCCAATGATAAAAGTCAGGCTTTCAAGCAACAAATAAAATTTTGGAAGACCTGTATCAGCTAAAACAAGTTTGACATCCTCCCCACGCTTTCTGTTGAGATCAGTGGTGATATTAATAATTGTGATTTTTGCATATTGTATAGTGAAATGTGTCAGTATTTGGAACATCTGCCTAGCTCAGTGAACTAATACTTCCCAAATGGCCAATGCACTGCAATGTCACAATGTAAGTTTACAAAATTATGAATGGGTAGAAGATTCATTCAAAGGACAAAAGAGACCAATGGTTTTTAATGTAACGGAGTATGAAAAGCTCATTGATAAGGTTTCAGATTTCACATTGTAACTAACCTTTATGAAACTACCACTCGTAGAATTTAAGTATATTATCAAAGAATATCCACAATTATCTGAAAGGCTATTAAAATATTTCTCCCTTTTCAGCTACATTATCTGTGTGAGCCTGAGTTTTCTTCATATACTTTAAACATGGCAACATGTTATAACAGATTGAATGAAAAAGCAGATATGAAAATCCAGCTGCCTCTTGTTAAACAAGACATAAAGGAGAAATAATGCCACTCTTGTCACCCAATTATTTTTGTTTTAGGAAACTATTTTTCATAAAATCTGTTATTTATGTTAATATATTGATATACATACATATACAGACATACATACATGTTTACACATACCTACACACACACACACACCACGTAACAAAAGCTTTCTTAGAAGCACTTCAATAATTTTTAAAAATGTAAAGAGGTCATAGGTGCAAAAAGTTTGAGAATCACTGCTCTTGAGAATGTCTCTGATGATCAAAATGTGAGTAATGGAGACAAACAGAAATAATACGGGCATTGGGTGAGATATGCCTCCCACCTTCGAGGATTTTCTTGGCCTCACTCAGGCCCCAGGTGTCAAGGCAGCCCCTGTGTAAGGAGGGCAATCCCAGAGAGAGGGAAAGGGCAGACCTCTGGAATGCTGTGGGACAAGGCACTGGAGGAGACCTTAATCTTTTGAAGAAGACCTTCAGACCTTCACCTGAAAAGTCACAGTCCAGTGGGAAGATGCCTAAGGGGTCTAACATCCCTGCCCGACATGGACTGTGAGAGCAAAGAGAGGGGTTTCCTTGAGTTCCCACTGCTCTGTATCTCAAGAAAATTTACAGTCAGACTCACAGGACGGCAAGTTGTTTATCTGTCCTCAATTCATTCTTGGCCTGCTCGGGAGCTTCCCTGACACCAGAGGGGAAATGCAAGGAAAGACGGGTTGACTGCTGGGCTGCTGACAAGCTGGTCACAGGACTTGGGTGAGCTTCAAAGATACAGCTGTGGAGTTCACCTAGAAGAAGTAGGATTTACTAGACTTTTCTCAGTGAAAACAGCATAGAATAAGATGAGCAAGAACTAGAGAAATAGCATCATTTGGGCATGATATCAGCAAACCCAGTTTGATCTTCTGGTTGGAGGAAGAGGAAGAGTTGATGATAGAGAAGGATAAAATTCTCCAAGTACCTGTCTAGATTTGTAGGTTTTACTTAAAACCAAAGGGTCAAATCTTAAGCAGGATATTTTTCAGGTAAAAGTCATTTAATTGTGTAAAAATGGAGAGAAATCATCTTAGAAAAAAACTCAATGAATATAATCAGTGCAAGATCTAACTTTACTCAACACAAGAAAATTCATACTGATGAGAAGTGCTCTGTTGTAATTAATGTGGAAAATGTTTCAGAGCTGCTCTTAACTTCTGATGTATGTATGAGTACACAATGGGAAGAAACCCTACGAATGTAAGGACCACAGGAAAGCCTTTGGTAGGTCTCATCCCTTAGGATATATAGGAGAATTCACACTAGAGTAAAACACTATGAGCATAAGTAGTGTTTTCAAGTCTCCAGCATTAGACCTGTCCTTAGAGGGCACAAGAGAATTCAAACTGGGGAAGATCCCTATAATGTAATCGATACAGAAAGGCTTTCCATGTCAATTCTACCATCAGCGCACACATAAGAATTCACACTGGGAAGAAACCCTATGAATGCCATGATTGTGGAACAATCTTCAGAAAGTACTCACATTTGACATATGCATGAGGACTTACACTGGAGAAAACCCTATAACTGTAATCCACATGGAAAATCTTTCAGGAGTAGCTTTTCCCTTACTGTGTACAACAGAATACAAAAGGGAATCCAGTGACTGTGGGAAAGCCCTCAGTGTTACTTCATCCCTTAGGAAACATACAACAAATCACACTAAAGAAATGCTCTATGAATGTAACCTTTATAGAAAATCCTTCCACCGTGTTCTTCGCTTACTGTGCATAAGAGAGCACTCAGTGGAGAGAATCCCTATGAATGCAATGAGTGTTGAAAGCATTTATTGATCTGTCATCCCTTAGACAACATAAGAGAATTCACATGGGTCAGAAATCTTATGAATGTAACCAATGAGCAGAGGGCAATTTCTCTATCCTTATGTAACTGATGAGCAATCACACCAGGTAGAAACACTCTGAATGTCACCAATGTGAATGAGCCTTTCATTTTGCACAAGATAAATTACACAACAGGAATACACAAGAAATGTGTATCCCTTATCTTCTACATTGGAGAAAATTCCTTTAATGGAATTACCAGGGCCAGCTTCACCAGCATGTGATGGTGCAGTCACACAGGGCTCCATGCTTGAGGGTTAATATGGAGGTTCCCATCTTAAAATTCTTAACAATTTCATTTTTGAGTTTGTCCTTTGTAAGTGAAGTTGTATAGGACAATGAAGCATGTGCTGGAAGCCTGGAAGCAGATGCACAGTCCTGCCTCTTACCACCTCCCCACCTCCTGGGGAGGTTGTATATATCAATATATACAAGAGGTCTAAAATTATTTTTATATCTAAGTATTATATTTAAAAGTTTCCTTTGACATTAATATACACAAATATTCCAAAAAGATGTGCAATCTTCTCTACAAATCCTAAAAGAAATAAATCCATGGACCTATGCACCTAGGCTAGAAATCTGGATTATTTACCAATACTACAACCACAAGTTAACTACAAACTTAACAGATTAAACAGCCAACTTTACAAAGCACTTAAATTGATTCAGAAGTTATACTCTTAAAAACACAGAATTCGACTATGCATATACTGTGCTGGATAAACATTTATCTAGCACAAACTGCCATGAAATGACAGCAGTGCTGGAAACAAATCCCACATATTTCAGTCCCCACTGTACCACCACCAGAAGCAGCTTTGCCCCCCAACAACCTTCTAACATAACAGGTGTGATGATCCAACACCTCAAGGGATAACTCCAACTTAAAATCAACCCAAAGTTTTCACTATGCTAAAATATTTGGCAAGTTTTCCCTTTTACACTGGATTCCTGATGACCTATCAGCTTCCACCTTTCTTAGATTTCAGAAAAATCGATGCTCTTTCTTTGCCACTCATTTCCATTTCCCTTATTGGATACTTTGGAAACCTTCCCCTGCACAGTTCCTGTCCCACTTTCTGACATGTTGCCTCCTTCAACCATCAAAAGAATAAATAAAAGTTATATTTTATACTTTTTTTTTTTTTAAACCAATGGGGGGAAAAAAACCCTAGGGCCTTTATCAAGCTTTAGAGACAAGAAAGTACTTTTAAACATTAGCAAAAAAGTAAGATTTCAGGATTAGTATCCAAAGGCCTTAGTTATCCAGAAGAGAGTAAAACCTCCTTCATCCCATATTTTAGAATCCTAAAATATGACTTTCCAGAAGAAAAGGACCAGACTACAGGTAAAGCGCCTAGTTTGTTGAGAACTATTCTTTTGGCACTTGACAAACTTTCACATACAGCTGCTCCTTCTCCTAATCCACTAGTTGCTTTTATCTGGCCATTCTTCATATGCTCCTCACCTAAACGGGTCCTTTCTCCATGATCCAGTCGCCTTAAGTTCCATAAGATACAGGAACAAAGTCTCTGTCATATGCCGATAATAACAGCAGTGTCTGTAGTTGGATAAGGTTGAAGAAGGCAATATGTTAGATAAACTAATTCTGCCGTGTTGAGCCTCTGAACGTCAACAGTCATTTTTCGTTTGAAATAATATTTATATCCTATTTTTCTAACTCATTACTATAAGTGCATTGTAAAAATGTGGAAAATACAAAAAGCACTACAGACAAAAGAAAATAAAGTGTGAGTACTCGTAAAGAAGCAAAAGCCTTAAAAATGAAAGCAAAAACTTTAAAGAAATTAGACCGTTTTTAGAAAGAGAAAATTGAGGGTAGGGTGTGAATCCCCAAATAAGTTAAGACTCCAAGGAGGATTGCTTCTCCAGTAGTCACAACCAAGTAGGCGCTTTTCAATCTATAAAATCAAGAGAAATTTTCCCGAAGAAAATGAAGTGGGCACACTTCCCCTGCTTATTCTACCTTCCTTCTGTTCACTTTACCCGCACTGATCACGTAACGGGTCTCCTTCTGCCTCTTGCCTGCCTGGAGAACATTTATCTTCAGAAAACCTCGATTTCTGGCTATTCTAAAAACCGTTTTTGAAAAATTCTTAACATTTCCCACCTCCAGAAGTGAGGGCTCAAACAGAAAGACCTATGACTGATGAACGCAGAAGGCCCGCCCAGGAGTTGGGGAGCCCTCAGGAGGCCAGAGCAGTGCAAACTAAAATGATGGCACACCCGGAATCTCCTTGAGAGAGAGGGCACAGCCTCCCAGAGCTGCCCCGCCCGCAGGGGAAGGTCCCGAGGGGGCCTTGACCAACAGGAAACCACGCGCCGGGCAGCAGCGAAGCCCAGTAATTGGGGCGGTGCTTCGCGCGAAGAGGGAATTAAAAAGACAAAAAACACCTCGAACTCTGCTCCCAGGAGCCCCGCTGTGGGGCGGGGAAAGCAGTCGTTGGCCAATGAGAGCAGCTGTTCCCCTGGCCCCGCCCCTGCTGCCTTCCCGCCCTTTACCCAGGCAGGAGGGCGCCGGCTCCTCGAGGCCGGGTGGCGGGCGAGGGAGGGAATCGGTTAGGGCTCACGGGGAGCGCACGAGGAATAAGCAGAGCGAACACAGACTAATAATTGTCAAGGGGCGAAAGGTGTCTGTTAGGGTCGGGCCAGGGGCCAGAGAGCGAAAGGAGCACCCAGAGGGAAGGTTGCGTCTGCGAGGCTGGGGAGAGGAGCGCGCCGGCCCAGCGGACGGCTGAGGAATCTGAGGTGAGGAAGAGTCGCTAACCGCGGAGCTGGGCGGGGCAGCGAGCGGGAAACAGGCCACTTCCTCGGAAAGAGTGGCCGGGGCAGAGCCGCGAGACCTCCTTTCTCCAGCGCGGGGCGCAGAGATTCTGAACGACTAACGAAATACCTTTTCCCTTCCCGAGCGCCTGCATGTGTGTCCTCAGTGTTCTGATGGTCGTTCCCACCACGGCTCCCAGGTGGCGAGCGCAGTGGCCTTGAGCTCGCAGGCCTTCTCTTCACCTCGTTCTCCTGCCCATCAGCGAGGTTTTGGCCAGCTATGGGATTAAAATTAACCCCAGGTGTTACTGTTAGTTTATGCCTTTAAAAATGTGTAAATAATAACCATGACAACGTACTTGTAAATACAAATGTCTTCAGGAGAATTTCAGTTTTTGCTTTTGTAATGCTGGGACTTAATTCTCAAACTTTATGCATATTAGAATCACCGGCAGGGCTTGTTTAAAAACAGCATATTGCTGGGCCCTACCCCCAAAATTTCTGATTTAGTAGGTTTAGGGTAAGGCCCCAGAATTTGTATTTCTTTGTTTTTGTGTAATTAACACATAACATTATATTAGTTTCAGATTACAACACAATGATTCGATATTTGTATATATTGCAAAGTGATCACCGCCTTAAGACTAGTTAACATGTCACTATACGTAGCTACAACACTCTTTTTCTTGTGATGAGAACTTTTAAGACTTGCTCTCTTAGCAACTTTCAAATATGCAAGACAGTATTGTTAACTATAGTCACCATGCCGTACGTTACATCCAGGACTTATTTTATAACGGGAAGTTTGTACCTTCTGACCACCCTCACCCATTTCACCCATCCACCCTCAACTCCTACCTCTGGGAACCGACAGACTGTTCTCCGTGTCTGTGCATTTTTGTTTTTTGGATTCCACAGATAAGTGAAATTGTACAGTATTTGACTTATTTCACTTAGCAGAATGCTGTCAAGGTTCATCCATGTTGTTGCAAATGGCAAGATCTCATTCTTTTTATGGCTGAAAAATATTCCTCTGTGTGTGTGTGTGTGTGTTTCACTTTTTTTTTTAATCCTTTTATCCATCAGCAGATACTTAGGCTGTTTCCATGTCTTGGCTATCATAAATAATGCTGCAGTGAACATAGGGGTGCAGGTATCTTTTCGAGTTACTGTTTTCATTTTATTGGGATAAATACCCAGAAGTGGAATTGCTGGCTCATATGGTAATTCTACTTTTAGTTTTTTTGAGGAACCTCCATACTATTTTCCATAGTGGTTGCACCAATTTACATTCCCACCAACAGTGTACAAGAGTTCTCTTTTCTCCACACCCTCACCAAAACTTGTTATTTCTTGTCTTTTGATAATAGTCATTCTAACAGGTGTGAGGTGATAATCTCATTTGATTTGCATTTCCCATTGCATTAGTGATATTCAGCATCTTTCATTGCCTAAAAGGTTACCTGTTGGCCATCTGTATGTCTTAAGAATTTGCATTTTTAATGAATTCCCAGCTGATGCTGTTGCTGCGGCTCTGGGGACCACATTTTAGAACCACTGGCCTAGCATATCTAATAAGTAGAATTTACTGAAGTTCAGGAATTGTGGTAAATGAGTAATTTATTTTACATGCAATTCTTATCAAAACTGTAATAGATAGGCATTAATATTTCTCTTAAAGGGAAGGAATCTTAGCTGAGGATAATGACTGAGATTACTTATTCTCAGAGAAGGCTACTGAAGTTTACAAAAACACACTGCTTCACCCTCACGCTGGCCACCAGCTTCACATTCTTCTTTGATCTAAAGAATAAGCAGGCATAGAACACTATTGTGCTATGGTTAAAAATACCTTTGCTCATAAAGACAGACATATAGACCAATGGGACAGAATAGAGAGCCCAGAAATAAACCCTGGCATATACAGTCAAATGATTTTTGACAAGGGTGCCAAGACTATTCAATAGAGAAAGGATAGTCTTTTCAACAAATGGTACTGGGGAAAAGGGATATCCACATGCAAAAGAATGAAGGTAGACCCTCACCTAACACCATATACAAAGAGTAACTCAAAATGGATCAAGGACCTAAATGTAAGGCATAAAACAAATAAAACTCTTAGATGAAAACAGGACAACACCTTCACAACATTGGACTTGATAATGATTTCTTGGATATGAAACCAAATGCACAGGTAACAAAAGAAAAAATAGACAAATTGGACTTCATGAAAATTTAAAAATTTTGTACATCAAAAGACACCATCTATAGAGTAAAACAGCAACCCACAAAATGGGAGAAAATATTTGCAAATCATTTATCTGATAAGGGATTAACATCCAGAATATATAGAGAACACCTAAAACTCAACAACAAAAAACCAAATGGACCAATTCAAAAATGGGCAAAGGACTTGAATAGACATTTTTCCAAAGAAGGTATATGAATGGCCAATAAGCACATGAAAAGATGCTCAACATCACTAATCATTAAGAAAATGAAAATCAAAAAACTACAGTGAGATGCCACTTCACACCCATTAGAATGGCTACTATTTAAAAAAAAAAAGCAAACAACATGTGTTGGCAAGAATATGGAGCAATTAGAACACTTGTGCACTGCTGATGGGAATGTAAAATGGTACAGCCACTGTGGAAAGCAGTATGGCAGTTCCTCAAAAAAATTAGAAATAGGTCCAGCAATTCCACTTATGGGTATATACCCAAAAGAATTGAAAGCAAGGTCTCAGAGATATTTGTATAGCCATGTTCATAGCAGCATTATTCACTATGGCTAAAACATGGAAGCAACCCAAGTGTCCATTGATGGATGAATGGATAAGCAAAATGTGGTACATACATACAGTGAATATTATTCAGCCTTAAACAGGAAGACAATTCTGCAATATGTTACAACATGGATGAACCTAGGGACCATTATGCTAAGTGAAATAAGCCAGTCTAAAAAGATAAATACTGTCTGATTGCACTTGTATGAGTACTTAGAGTAGTCAAAATCATACAGACAGAAAGTAGAATGGTGGTGCCAGGGGTGAGCGGGAGGGGAAAATGGGGAGTTACTATTTAGTAGGTATAGAGTTTCAGTTTTACAAGATGAGAAGAGATGGATGGTGGTGATGGCTGCACAACAATGTGAACATATGTAATACCCCTCAACTGTACGCTTAAAAATGGTTACGATGGTAAATTTTTTGTAATGTGTATTTTAACATGATAAAAGAAATTTCAAGTACCTTTGCTAACTGTATTCCCTAGGAGTGTATATTTGGGCAGATCATTTCACCTCTTCAAGCCTAGGTATCCTCAACATGGGCAGCTTGGGCTACAGCAGTTAGACCATCAAGAACCCTAATTTGTTACTATTTTTCCTTCTTGGATCGCATGCTTCAAGATTTTGTCTTGTAAAGTGGTGTATTTATTAAGAAACTGTTTCCTATTTCTTATTAATTCAAGACATTTTTGTTTCTGATGAGCATAAGATAACCATGGGTTGTCACCCTAAGTTGATATGTCAGCCAAAAGCAAGGAAATAGGATTTTATTTAGCATCCACAGACTTAAGTAGCTATGTGATTTCTCTTAGAACATTTGAAATGTTGAAAATTGTTTATGAACTCCTAGAGGTTTGGAGACCACAGGCTTAACACCACAGAAATGGTTGATTTTCAAGGTTCTTCCTCGAAATCTGTATGATTCTCCAAAGGTATGGCTTCCTATAGGCTCAGCACGGACATAGGGTTATGGAAGCTTGTACTAGATCATAATTGGCTTGACCAGGGCTTGAGGCTATAGGATAATTCCATCGATATCTCTGTTTCTTTTAACTTTATCCCAGAGGTGAAATAGGAATGGGAAGTGAAAACGAAGTTCAGTTTGCATCAACACACTGCTTGGGATTTGGAGCTCAATTCAAAGAGTCGACGCACAAACTGTGTGGTCTCCGAGGCCAGATTCTTGAACCTCTATCATGTGTGATAAGTGGTCACTGCACTTGAACCAGATAAATTTTTCTAAATAATTATTCATTTTTTAATTAATTATATAATGGAATATTACATAACTATTGGGGAAAAGCTCTTATTAATGTGACTCTCACAGATATTATGTAGAGTGCAAAAAGAGAGATGAATACATACTGTATCATTCCATATATATGAGGTTCAAAACAGGCAAAACTAAGCTGACAGTGTATGCCCAAAATGTCTAGTGTTTTCAGTAATCATTATGGTGGTAGTCTTGGTATTGTTATTCTGAGACTGTGTTGATGTGGAATAAAACAAGTGGATTATTATGAGATATTCTAAATCTATCATCTCTTTATCCTTAATAATCATCAGGATTATTAATGTAGAAGAAAGGAGATACAGATGTAATACCAAAAAAATTAAGTTAAAAACTCTGTAGTCTTGAATTTGAATTAGAAATATCAATATGAACTCATAAGGATTTTAATATGTATATGTATATCCGTAACTGCTATGTCCACCAAAAATGCCTAAAAACAATGTGCAAAAGAAAAAAAACAGTAGCAATGAGCACTCCTAGCATCTATATTGTGGTCTTAAAATATCATTTCACATTAGAAGAAACCAGGGCTTCTTAGAGGGTTGACCAATTCCAAGTCTAGAGCAGGAAATGTACAAGATAAGCTTGGAACATCTTGGCACACTAGATAGTTATGAAGCTCTCAAAGACTATTAGGTTTATATCAAAAGGACTCAGGAGCCAACTTGAAGATGTTCCACTAGCCAAGGAAGGGATAATTTGAGCATTAATAAGGATAAGAAATATCATAGATTGAGACCTATCAAATATGTTTAAATGCATGAGTTCCTAATGACATTTCAAAAAGAAAAGAATTGGTCCTTCACAGAAGATAATAGGAAACCAATCTGTTGTCTGAAACACTGGTAAATAAAAGGATCAAGCATTTATCTGGCCTTTCCCATATGAACTGTACCACTGTATAACAAAATAGTAGATGAAATAGATGAACTGTCTCTGTATGTAAAAGGATTCCAAAAAACACATGGAAAAAAAATCACCGTTTTGCAACTCCCAATAAATTAAGAGATATATGCATGAAGTATCAATGGCTGCCAACATCACAGAGATTACTAGATATCACTTGCCTCCTATAGTCTTGCCATACACCACGTATATCTTTAATATTTAGATCAAACCTGAGTCTGATATAGTCTCTGGAATCAGCTGCTAATTTGCAGAAAATATAAAAGATAAAGGAATGTGTGGAATTAGCCATGAGTATGCACGCAGCAAAATCTAGATTGTGGGAAACTCTGCAGGGCAAACAGGCTGAGGCTGTCAGCATATAAAGTGAGGAAAAGATATAAAAGACAAGTCTATAGATTAAAAGAGACTTAAAAGACGTCAAACATTTTTTAAATGGACAAGACTAAACTATATGATTAGGAATAAACATTTCAGTGATAAAAGTATATTTTGAAAAAGCAAGGAGTGATTACTATAAAAGTCAGAATAGTCGTTACATATGGAGGAAGAGAGGATTATGACTGGCACAGGGCTAATAGAAAGGATTTCTAGAGTGAGTGACAAAGTTCTATGTCTTCACAAGGGTTGTGCCCACTGGGGTCCATGAAGTACAAGTTCCTATTGTCCTCTACACTTGCCTCGTCATGTTAAGTTATATAATCCTTGATAATTACATTAATTATTTAATTCATGTTGAATTAATATAATTCATATTTCAATCTCAATAATGACATTACATAGTAAGGACAAAAAGCCCTTGGGAGATAGGGAGATGTAGAATTTTCTCGTCACCTATTGCACACCTAGTGTTAGTAGGTTGTAATGTCTGAGGAGCGCTTGTATGTGTGTGTATTTGGGAGGGGTAACACAGTGATTTGTATTTTTTTTTTTTTTTTTTTAGTGATTTGTATTTTAATTTTGAAAAGTATAAGATATAAACTTTAAATTCAACCAAGATTTTGTTGTAAAAGTTTATGCTTCTTTCTTTTTAGATTTAGTTCTCATTTAGCTTATAAATTTGGCAAATTAAATTCCCTTAAATGTTTAACGCTATTTACAAACTTTATCTCCTGTATTAACGCTTGTTATACCCTGAAAGCATTCTGCACCATTTATTTGGCCTGAAATTGCACCATCTTTTGCTTTCAGAATTGTCTGTCTCACGGACCACCATTTTGTGGTTACTCTGTTTATGTTTACTACCTTCAGAAATAAATTGTTCCTCTGGTTACCTTCCTTCAGGGTCCCTTTCCTCACATGAAGGGCCCCGTCAATCAAAGTAAGTATTGATTATCAGTGGGTCAACTGTGAGGGACATTTACATGGTCAAAGAATAATTTGCCTTAGAAAGTACCTTGGTTACTGATATCCTCAAATACCTAGAACTCTTCCAAGTATTAGACAATAAAAATATTCTTATCCACACTGACCAATTTTATTTCTTCTTCCTGTTTTCTGATTTGTCTGCTTGCTTGGTGCTTTTTAACAATATTGACTGAGTCCAGTACTTAAGTGCTTAAATTGTAGCTGTTCCTTCAACACTGGAGGACAGCAAGGCAGAGTTGCCATTACACTCAAAGCCTGGCTTGCACTACTGTAATGGCTAAAACATGGAGTTTGGAGTCAGGCAAACTTGGGGTTGAATCTCTGTGACTTATTTGCTGTGTGACCTTGGGCAACTAACTTCTGTCAATTTCATCCATAAAATGTGGATATTATGAGGAATAAATAGGCTAATATTTCTAGAGCACTTAGTACTTTACAGACAGTGTTGTTATAGCTTAAGAAAGCAAATACAGTACTCTTTTCCTTAGCTCTTAATATCCTCTTTCTCATTTCCACATGTGGAAATCATAAACCCTCCCCTATTTTGAGACCAATCTCAAAATACACCTCTTCATGAAATTGTCCTGATTCCCTCAATATAATATAACCTTTTGCTTCTGCTTTAAAGTCCAAGCATTTTGTGCCTCATTAGTATACTTATTTTGCACCCATATTATTATTTTCCTGGGCTGATTTTCTTGACTCTCTCCCCCTGCATTTCAACAGTCTGGGATAGGAGTCTTTGAGTTTTGGTCCCACAGCACACATCACAACAATCATCACTTCAGTCTTGGAATAGCTTGCTTGAAAGCAACGGCAGCATTTTATTTATTGTTTTACCTCTGCCCCTAGTATGTTGCCTACACGGTAGAAGTTTAATAAATATTTCTCGATTGACCTACTGTCCTCCTTACATGGTCTCCTGGAAAGCAAGGGCCAGATCTTATATGGTGGACCTCTACCTGTGTTTGTTGATTAGAGAATGAAATAAACCAGAAATTTTAATCCCTGGGTTGTTGCCATGGTAATGGGGCAGGTTTTTCAGGTCTGCAACATCAGTTGTGCTTACCCTTGGCTAAGAAATTGACTGCTCATCTCACTCCTGTTCACACTTTTCTCCTCACCTACTACACTTAGAACTAAAATTATGCAAGCTGCACAAATAATTTCTGTGTAGTTGCGCCAAAGCCCCTTTCCTGGGGCTCTGGCTCCTTCTTGCCCTAAGGCCGCGAGGGGATGCAAGCAGCAAACTCCAGTCCTCAGGGGACCACGGGCACTTGACAGAGGGACCCTGCGAGGTCCCGGGGCTACCGCAACAGGTACTCGAGAAAGACTGGGCGCCTGGACTAAAAGTCAAAAATTCCCATCTTCTTGCTCACCCCTTTCTGCTACTCTGAAGGCTGGGTGGGTCTAACCTGTCCTGTTTAGTACTGTACTTCAGTTGTGGGGGCAATCGTGCTGACATTCAGAGCATGCGCGCCCCCTAGGAAGGAAGGGTGCTCCATCTGAGACCCGGGACCGAGCAGTGTCTTGGGGGAAATGTAGTCTCAGGGCCTGCTGTGCCACAAGTCTGGGATGGGGCCTGAGGCTGCTTGTGCTTCAAAATGCTGTTGCAGCGCTCTGCCTCTGAAGTAAAAGGCTGTTGTGTGCCTTATTAGTGACAGAGAGAAGTATGAGAAGTGGGTGAGAGGAGAGTGGTAAATAAATGGCAAGCGATGGGATATATAGGAGTACATGAGAAAGCCATTTGGTGTAAAAACTAATTGAGCCTGAACTTGTTTTTTCAAAAGGGCCTGACATGGCTGTTAAGCATGCATTGTATATCTGCTTTAAATATTTATGTAGCAAAGATGAGAGCAATGCCCTTAAAGATAAGGATGTAACTTCCCCCACATTGGCCTTTCCTTAAGGATAAGCATCTCTCCCTAAACTATGGATTGCATCCTCATTTCATTAATGTCTTTTTCTGATATTTTGTCTTCTTCTTTCATTTGGAACATATTCCTCCCTGTAGTCCTTTTGCCTGATTCTCTGTGTTTGTTTCTATGTATTAGGAAAATCCACTACCTATTCCAGTCTTGAATGAGGGGCCTTGTGTAGAAGATGTTACTTGGGGCCGAGGAGCACAATCCACCCCGATCACCAGCGCTAGGCATTCAAGAGACGTCCCTGTGTGGGCTGCACACACCCATTGGCTCTGGCAGGGCTGCATGAGTGGCGCATGGGGGCGGGGCTGCTCACCCTTCACATCTGTTTGTGTCATGTGCAAGTGGGATGAGGCCAGGAGATGGGGATGCTGGCCCTCCACGTCTGTTGGTGCCACACATGAGTGGCACACTCCCAGTTTAATCTAAAAGAGAAGATTACTTAGTGGGACTGTGATGGATTTGAGGAATGATTAATATAGCCAGAAGTAGATACAATGACTGTTGGAACTGTGCATTTTCATTTTGGGGAAAGTATGAGAACTTCTTCACTTCTAATAAGGATAGGGTTTTAAAACCTGCACAATCATGTTATGGTTCTTACTACATACAACTAGATTGATTCCTGAAAGAATTTAACTAATATAAAGCATAGTCAACAATGTATACATATATCTGTTTGCTCATTTTATCATTGTTTTTCTTGACATTTCTTTATGTTTGTTAAGATAATAGATGAAGATTCTGTTGTCTTGATGTGTTAATTTACATTAGGCAACTGCTACTGATTTTTTTTGTGGTTTACAATATGTATATATGTTGAATGCAAATGCTACATTTTATAATGTATGTTTTCAGGGAAGAGGTGGTAGCAAAGTACAGTACCAATCTTTAGGATAAGTGTTCATTCTTTTTATTATTTTGTTGTGAAAAAAACATATAATGTGGATTTTACCCTCTTACCAATTTTTTAAGTGTATAGTATTGTTAACTGTATGCACATTGTTGTACAGGAGATCTCTAGAACTTTTCCTTCTTGCATGACTGAAACTCTATACTGAACAGCAACTTCCCACTTCTCCCTGTCCCAGCCCCTGGCAACAAGCACTCTACTTTCCGCTTCTATGAACTTGACTGCTTGTGATAGCTCATATAAGTAAATCATGAAGTGTTTGTCCTAATGTGAATGGCTTATCTCATTTAACACGGTGTCCTCAAGGTTCATCCATGTTGTCACATACTGCAGGCTTTCCTTCTTTTCTAAAAGTTGAATAATAGTCCATTGTATGTACATATCACCTTTGCTTTATCCATTTGTCTGTTCAAGGACATTACTATGTTCATTCTTTGTTTTCACTATTCTTTGACAATTTGCAGGCACACATGCCATTGATGCCTACGGTGCCACCAGGTCAGGTGAATGGAGGGTGCTGAACTGTCTCATTCTGGATCCTTATCTGTATCTAGCTTACTTGTGCTGTGCCCTTTTATTAATGGACTCCTTTGTGTAACTCCATAGGTAAAAGTCCTGGGCTCAGGGTCTTTCTTTGTTCAGCTTCCTCAACTGTAAGGAGGTCACCCCTTCTGGACTAATTGTCAAAGGCTGTGGTAGGAGCTGACATATTCTGAACCTTTTTCCTTAGACCCAGGATGGGCCAAATACTTCTCTGACTATATTTCTCAGACTTTGGAAGTCTCTTCACTTTGAAAAATAAACCAATATACTTGAATTTAATTAAAAAGCAAATTCCACAGGAGCTCTGAGCTTGCAAATTTCTCTCCGCTTATAGACTGATTCTCTTATAGAGCAAACATCCTGTTGCCCTTTCTTACCCTGACACATACATTTGCTGCCTCAGCGTCCTCTGCAGAGCTGCCTTCACCTCCTGGTTCTTGAGGCTGTAGATGAGGGGGTTTATCAAGGATGTGATCACACCATACTGTATGGAGACAACTCGCTCCAGGACTGATCCAGAAGGGGGACTGATGTACCTGAATAGAGCTGTTCCATAGAACAAGAGCACCACGGTGAGGTGGGAGGAGCAGGTGGAGAAGGCTTTCCCTCGGCCCCCAGAGGAGGAGATACTTAGGATAGCAAACATGATTTTTGAGTAAGAAAAGAGGATCAGGAGAAGTGTCACAAGTCCTAGAAATGCAGTAGACCCAGCCAGCAGGATGGTGTTAGCCATGGGATCACTGCAGGACAGAGGAAAGAGTGAAGGCAGTTCACAACTGAAGTGGGAGATGATATTGGGACCACAGAACTTTAAGCTCTGGATACAAAGATTATTCACTAGTGATTTCAGAAACCCCGTCATCCATGCTGCACTGACCATTGCAGTGCAGACAGGTCTGTTCATGACCACAGTGTAGAGCAGAGGGTGACAGATGGCAGCATAGCGGTCATAGGCCATAGCAGAGAGCAAGCAGCCCTCAGCACCCCCAGAAAGAATGAAAAAGAAACTCTGGGTGATACAGCCCCACACCGAGATGGTTTTCTTCTGAGACAGGAAATTCTGCAGCATCTTGGGCACAGTGACTGAAGAGTAGCACATGTCTAGGAAAGACAAATGTCCAAGGAAGAAGTACATGGGGGTGTGGAGGTGGGAATCGGACCTGATCACCAGGATCATCATCAGGTTCCCCATCAGGGTCAGGAGGTAAATTCCCAGGAAGAGAACAAAGAGCACGGTCTGGATATCTGGGTCACTGGACAATCCCAGAAGCACAAATTCTTCAATGATGCTAAGATTTTTCATGGTTTTTTAGATACACTATCCCTAAAAACAAACAAATATTTATTCACTTGGTGGGACAATGATCTGAGTCATTCTTAGTGATTTATTTTTTTAATCTTAGGATTTATTTTTTAACTTATGCAGGATTCACTTTTTTGCTTCAGGCCTGAAATTGAATCTGAGGATAGATAAGTATCTGACTACCCTATTACCCTATTAAATACTGCAACTTTCTTTCTCCTGCCTAAGTTCTCCTTATCAAGCTCAACTTCTTTTTCCCCATGACACTTAACACTTTCTAACACATAGCATAATTGGCTCCTTTAGTACATTAAAAAAATTATCTCTTCCTGCTAGAATTTATATTATACACAGGCACGGATCTTTGTTTTTTTTTCAAGGGTGCATTCCTAAGTGCCAATAATTGTCACTGGCTCCATAATTTTTGTGTAAGAGAAGACAATCAGGAAAGTGTCACAGTCCTAGAAATGTAGTAGACCCAGCTGGAACGCTCTAACTGAACATTTGTCAAATGAAAGAATGAATGCTTCCTCAGCTACAGTCTCTTCTTGTAACCCTCATTGCTACCAGCCTGCTGACTTTTTAGATGATAGACCCCTCACAGTCTCTATCCTCTCATGCTCTTCCCCAGTCTTTCCTCAGCACCTGATATCATCCAAGACCTGGTGAACCCTAGAAGTCGCAACAAGTAAAAAGATATCAGAGGCAAAGCAAGAGAGACCCTTCTGTGGAAGGCTACTTTTCAGAACTGTTAGAGCTTAAATTCTTATACGTCTTGTCTGACATGTCAACAGAGACATGTTATCTGACCTCATATTTCCTGATGAGGATGATGTGGGACAGAAGGGTGACATGACTTGCACCATAGCTACATAGTCTCAGAGCTAGGACTAGGCCAGGTGTTCTGATTTCACATCCAATTCTCTTTCAAGTACTTTATGCACAGACAATGAATATTTGTGGATTTAAGGAGTTTTAAGTTTAGACTGGTATGGACTGGGGAGAAAGGAGTGACCCCCGTTTTCCTTGGTCCTGTGAATTTTCAATATACCCTAAGGTTCTACAGCAGCTGCTGTGGTGGTAAAATGGGCACTAGACTCAGAGTCATAAGGCCCTTGGTGATTACTGACTGCAAAACTTATTCAAGATATAACCTTCTCAAATGCAAAATGGGAATGAAAATGAAGTCAAATGGGATAAATGTCTAAATAATCACTGACTAGCTTTATAAACATTTTTTAAAAAACTATATTTGAAGAAGATTGAAATGGAACATAGTAAATAAAAATTTGTTGTCTGTTGAGTGTCAAGTTCATGCATACTTTTCCCAGTTAAATATTTCGCTTATGCTGTAAAATTATGTTGTCACTAAAAGCACTTTTTTTTTAAATGGGAAAAGTGTTTTCTGGCTCCCAGTCCCTCCAAGCCTGATTCCCAAGACTTCTTCATCATTTGTTCTCTCCAGACAGTCTCCCTCTCCTGCTGGGACTCACTGACTTACCGCCTGCATTTTATATTTCACCCCCTCAGCAAAAAATCTTACTCTTCTTCCTTCTTTCCCTCCCTCTCTCAAACCTCATTTCACACATCCTCCTTCCTGCCACCACCTACTTACATCCTTACTTATACGATAAAAACTCTTATTTATTTAATGCATAATTTATGCCAGACACTCTAACAAGGTCTATATGCTCTTGAACTCATTTAATCCTTAGAAAACCTTGTAACATAGATATTACTGACCCCCTTTCTGTGGGGGAGAAAGGTTAAGTGACTTACACAGTCATTGACTTTACAAAGTGGTGGAGTTGGGACTCTCATCCAAGGTTCTCGGACTCCAAATCCCATGATTTTCCTACTTTGAAACACTGCAAAAGTTTGTCTATGGGAAAATCTCTCCTGGTTTGGAGATTATGCTTTCTCCTGAGGGGACTTGGGAACCCAGGCAGGTGAATGAGGTGGCTTGGAAGTTTGGGCCATTGACTTGTCTGGAACTTCTCCTTACCCAGGATGTCCCAGTGCTCACAGAGATTTGGGTATCAGGGATTTGGCCTCTTAGAACACAGACGGGGGCTTCTGGGCCAGGGGAAAAGCCAGGAAGAGAAGACCAAGGAAAAGCCAGATTGAGGACTAAGAGCAATTCAGACTAAAAGAAGTGGAACTCTACAGAGGTCGAGGATTAGGGTATCAGAGATGGCCCTTCTAGTTTTCCATCCAGTTTCCCTTCCTGAAGCATCTGAAGAAATCCTGGTGGTGATGCATCAAGTAAGTAACTGTGGATATGAAGGATTAGGATTTATCCATGTAAATAAAAGTTCTCTTCTTGTCCTCTTTCCTAAAAACAGCAGCGAATTTCACTTTTCTTTTTAATCTTCCACACTCTTATTACACTCTTCCAGCAGCTACTATGCCACATTTTGATCCCATCTGGAGGCAGAACACTGGCCTCAATGAACTCTGGAAGTCCCCAGGATCCCAGACTCTAGTGAAGGTTTTCCAGAGTCTTTTTTGAACTCCATGGAGCCCAATATGCTGCACAGTGTTTCAAGGGCCACCACAGGCACCAAGAAGTTGGTCACGTGTGTAGGTCTCTCCCCCAACCCCATGTACTACAATCACCATAGCTCTTCATTTCTGTTTTCTATATAGGTAGCTTTTTCAGTGGGCATTTTTTGTTTTTCAGTGAACAAAATAAAATAAAATAACTTTGAAAACAAGCTACTTAGGGAATCTTTGAACAGCGGTAGGGAGAAAGACTATCACTCTGGTTTCAATATTCACCACTCCACCCATCCTCCTTCTTAAAAATGTTCATCTTTTTTTTTTTGTTCAAACTCTGGTACATGAAGAAACAAAACAGAAATATCCCAAATGGGCAAGTGGGAAGAGAGTTCAAACTTGTAGGACAGTTTCTCCTTAGTTTTGTGGCTTTGAGCAATGATTTCACATCCTGGGTCCAGTTGCCAGTTCTAAAGAGAAATTTAGAACTGGTGCCCATCCAGATCCTTCCATGAGAATGTTTGAAGCCCTTCCTTGAGTTAGAGGTATGTCTGACTCACTTACCTCCTCACTGAGTAGAGTTGTCCTGGGTGCAAACGATACTCTGCAATTTGAGCCAGGCTATCAACTGTCTCCAAAGCAGGGCTCCAGCATGTAAAAGAACCTCCAGCAGTAGGCGTCTTCTGCAGAGGGGTCCAACAGGATTCGGCACAAAGCAGGCTTAGTGCCCAATCAATGCTAGGTCTGGAGTCATGTTCAAACTCAAAGCAGTTCACTTCAAGGTTTCTTCTGGGTAAGGGCTAAGCTGTTCTGACATCCAGTAGATGCTGTTTTGAGTCTTTTGGTCTCTAAGAGAATCTGGTACTCTTCCTTATCATTTACTCTGCTTTTGTCTCCCTCAGTCCTAACGAAAGCTCATGCCCAGTTCATGTAACTTATATGTCTTTCTTCAATAGCTTGTTGGTAATCTTGTGCCAGGTGGGCCCTGGAGAGGGCTGTTGAGTAAGCACCCCTGGGAACCAGAACCAGTTCACTGCCCATGGGGAGGCAGCAGTAGCCAGAGCAAAAGGGGCCCTCAGTCTGAAGATGGACAAGCTACTACTACTGTTGTGGCCAGAGGAGGACACAAGAGTATAGAAGGCTCCTAGCTACAAACTGCTTTGCTAATAGGGGAGGAGAGGACTCGGTGAACTCCAAGGTATGAGAATCTGCTTAGGGCTTCTTTAGTCCCTGATAGTCCTGGGGTTCTGAAAACACACACACACAAATACACACACTCTCTCTCTCTCTCCCCCTCTCCACCCAAGTACACACACTTCCCTTTCCCACTGTGACAAGTTCAATGGTTTCCTTACTCTCCTGAAGCTACCTACTCCCTTAACCTAACATTCCTAACTCTCACCTGATAATTTACAGAGGAAATGTTCCTGTTCCTGCTATGGGAAACCTCCAACTTCCGAATCCCCACACATGGAGTTGTCCTTCTTTTCTCCCCTCCAGTTTGGGGAGGAGGCCACACTCCTTCATCTCTGGTCAGTGCCTCTCTCTGCTCTGAATCCTATCCTGACCCTTCTCTTTGAGTATCTCCCTAGATCAACCATGCTCTTTCTCTTCTGCTGTCTCTCCTTTTCCATTGAGCCTCTCCACTCAGCTTATACATAGAAACTACTTATGTTTATCCATTTAAAGTAAGCAGGAACAATTAGTAACCCCCTCTCTTCCATAAGCAGCCTTAAAATATAACGGAGTTTGGAGCCCTTCCTTGAGTAATAAAGTCAACTGCTTTTAAAGGCTTCTACATATAAAAACACTGAGTTAGACACCTTTCTGTTTGAGATACAAAGGAAAGGACAAGTTGGTGAAAATTTTACTCTCACTCCTTTATATTTTAATCTATTTCTGAGATTGTCCCAACACTTCAGAAAAGATATATATGGAATATACCGCACATTCTGTAACACCTCTGCTGCACCCTGCACTCAAACACATTGCTGTTTCTGCAGTGAAACTTCCGAGTACCCCTTCTAAGTGGGATTTAAAAAGGTTTCAGATAGCCTCATGTCAGTTAACTTCCCGTTTTGCCTCCAAACTGGTTTTGAAAAAAAATGTTTGGTTTTCAGAGTTTTTTGAGATTTTTGAATTGGCGATGAGGGCTCATAAACCTGTTCTAAATTTCTGTATTTACTGGCTTTATTTCTAGGTTTCCTGTTCTCTTCCTTGATCTATCTGACCTTACAGTGGCACTACATTGTCTCCCTGAGTGTAGATACAATCTGTGTTTTAATACCTAGTAGTGCCAGTCCCTTATTTTCATATTTTTTATTTTCTGTTATTGCTTGCTTATTCTTATAATTTCACTTCAGAATCAGATTTTTGGTTTGAAAAATTCTCTTGAGATTTCAATTGAATTGTTTTTTACCAATATGTTAATTTGGGAATAACTTTTTACAATATGTTCTATCTTTTCTTTATTTGAATCTTTTCTTTTTGCTTACAGTTTGATTTTTATTTTCTTCACATAAGCCCTAGGCACTTTTGTTAGTGCATTATATATATTTTTTGCTATTTTAATTATAACCTTTGCAACTGAGGTTCCCATCTATACAGTCAGGCGCCTCTGCTTGTGGAGTTCACCTTGGGGGAGAAGTAGAAGCAGCCTTCAGGGCTTGTGCTCCATACTTTTTTTAGTGAAATTGGATAATAAGTGGGCATATACTGCCAGATGGGGTACATTAGCAGCTGTTCTTCTGGTCTCCACTACTTCCTGTTCTTCCCTGACATCATTAGCCACTCAGAGGCACTGAGATCTCTCTTCATCCCACATACTGCTCCTACAAGGAAACACATAACCTTGTTGCAGCTGCCTGTCCAATGCCGTATGTACTTGCTCACACATTCCCCCAGCCAAAGTCCCTGTTGGTGCCCTTTGACTTTCCCTGCTCCTGGCTTTTACTCTTACACTCATGAAACTCCTTAGTTGTTGCTCCTACTTCATATGTTGATACCTTCCTGCTGGCCCTGCATACCATTCTCCTTACCATTTCCCTCTTTAATGTCATCAGACCTGCTTTCAGTTCCTCAATAATTACTTAGTTTATGGTGCTCTAAGAAATCCCCCTTTTTGATTTGATGATAGACAAACTCGTTAAAAATTTCTCTTTTATATTTCTCCAAGGTTTTGTTCTTGGAAGGGAGACTGCATCACATGCTCAATATACTATTTTATTTTTTTATTTTATTGAGATCACATTGGTTTATACATTGGTGTAAATTTCAGGTATACATCATTATATTTTGACTTATATGTAAACTGCGTCGTGTCCACCATCAGAAGTCTAGTTTCAGACACACAGGTCAATGGAACAGAATGAGAGCCCAGAAATAAAACCATACATCTATGGACAGCTAATTTTCAGTATACCATGTTAAAACAGAAACTTTCTATATAGAAACCCTAAACATTCCATCTTTCCACGATGCAGTTTACATAGAAGTCAAAATATAATGATGTATACCTGAAATTTACACCAATCTATAAACCAATGTGATCTCAATAAAATAAAAAAATAAAATAGTATATTGAGCATGTAATGCAGTCTCTCTTCCAAGAACAAATTTCTTTTGTTAGAACGAATAAATAAATTTAGTAAATTTGCAGGATACGAAGTCAATATACAGAAATCTGTGGCTGTGGTGTTTCTATACACTTACAACAAACTCTCAGAAAGAGAAATTAAGAAAATAATCCCATTTACAATTGCATCAAGAAAAATAAAACACCTAGGAATAAACTTAATCAAGGAGGTGAAGGACCTGTACACTGAAAACTGTAAAACACTGATGAAAGAAATTGAAGGAGATACAAATAAATGGAAAGATATTCCATGTTGATAGATTGGAAGGATTAATATTATTAAATATCCATAATACCCAAGGCAGTCTAAAGATTCACTGCAATCCCTATCAAAACTCCAACAACATACTGCACAGAAGTAGAACAAATAATTCTAAAATTTGTA